CCCACACGCGGCGCGGGGGGCCGCCCTGCGGGGAGAGGACAGCCGGCTAGATGCTGCCTGGCAGCCCCTCCTCACCCAGCCACGCTCCGGGGAGGGGAGGGTGACTACCAGCAAGGGCTGACAGCACTCCCAGGGGGAGTCTGTTCTGCCCAACGCTTTCAAAATCCACCTCCACCCCAGCCCTGAGCTTTAACGGCTGGGTTTACCCTGGAAAAGGCCCGACATACTCATAACATTGGTGATGAAGGCTGGGGAGAAGACTTGGTGCAGGACAGTCTGGGGGAAATGGCTAAGCTGAAACATGGACATGAGGATGTTGACGGTCGCCAGGGGTGAACTGCCAGCTTTCTGCTCCAGGATGGCCTCCAGCTTGGGGAAGAGCTCGCTGTGGTTGGATGGGCGGTAATTCATGCGGCTGAAGGGAAACACCAGCTTCTGGATCACCTGCAGGCAGGAGGAGAGAGAGATGGGCTGGGCCAGGCAGCGGGATGAAGGACAGGTCAGGCCCAGGCCTGCTCAGAGCCGGGCAGAAACAGGCTCTCACAACCCATACGGATCAGGGCACATCCCGGTCGGTCCCCAGTGAGATGCCCCAGCCTGATGGCAGAGAAGGGACGTGGTTTCCCCCAGCACCGGGGCAGCCTCAGAGCCAGCCCCAGGCATCCCCCGCAGACGGGGGCAAACACTCACCTTGCTGTCGAGCTGCTCCCCACGCTTCAGGAGGAAGTTTGCGATGGTATCAAGCAGCCGTGGCTCACGCAGCCGGTGCCGGGCCACATACTTGGCAATGAGGGCCATGGTGTAGGGGGGAAGGTTCTCTGCCTTCCTGGGGAGCCACTCTGCACAGAGCAAACCATAGCAGGGTATCCGTCAGAGGGGCCTGGCTCTGTCCAAACTGCAGCTCTCCAGAAGCCACTACAGCCTGGGCAGGAAAGGCAGTGCAGGCAGGTGGCAGATAACAAGACCTGAGCAGCAGAGCCATCTCTCCTGAAACCCAGAAGGCTTCCAAAAACCATCAAGTTATGGGGCTTGTGAGAGGCTCGGGCAGATTCCCATCATGTGCACCCAGAAGGCACAGCTGGAACACAGCTGGAACGTGCACAGAATGGAGGCCCTTCTGTAGAAACCCCACCAAAACCAACCTGCTCCCAGTCTTGAGGTAAGGTAGGCTCACAGCCCCTGAAAGGGCTAGGCTGGGAAGTCAGTGACAGAGTGGCCATAATGCAGAGCACCTCCTGCTCCAGCCTCACTGCTGCAGGCCCTGGTGCTCAACAAGGCCCCAGCTGGTGCTGTCACAAACCCAGATGTCCTCTGGGGCCAAGAAAGGAGGCTCCAAGGCTGCCAAGTGCACGGACAGAGCCCAGCGCACCCCACACCGGGGAAGAGGCTCACACAGTGGGCAAGGCTGGGACCCTGCCTGGGCAGACCCTGCCCTCACCTGCCATACTGCGGATGAATCGCTCTTGGCGGTTCTCGTAGAAGAGCTGAGAGCTGAAGATGGCCTCCAGGGCCTTGTTGTTCGCCTCCTGGGCGCACAGAGCCAGCATCTCGTCCAAGAGGGCCAGCTCGTGCTCCCGCATGGCACTCACTTGCCCCAGTGTGTGCCTGACAAGGCGCAGGATCTTGCGGTTGTTGATCAGCTGCTGGTCGGAGGCCGGGTGTCCCTGCAGTGCCTGCGCCCGCAGCCGGTAGTAGGAGAGGAGCAGGAAGAGGGTCTGGGGGTGGCGCTCCTTCTCCAGATGCCGCTCCAAGCTGCTGAGGCAAGACTCGACCAGGGGGTGGGGGCTGGACGGGTGGAGCCTCATCACGCTGCTGAAGACCATGGAGACGTCCTTCTGGTTGAAGCGGCCCAGGCGGCTCCGGGATTCGTCCTCCAGCACACGCACCAGCGGCGATTCCCCAGGCAGACCTGCGACAGGGAAGGGATTAGGGACGCCCGGGCCCCACCTCTCGTCTTCACTAGGCACAACCATCCTCATAAGCTCAGGCATGAGACTACAGCCAGAGAAGGACAGGTTTGCCGTGTCAGTGATCAAACCAGAGATGAGAAAGGGAAAG